GGCTATTTTTTGGTTGCAGCCGTCATTGTTGTTTGGCGGGTCCGGGCTGGGGATCCGAACCCGCCACCTTAGGTGTACGTGGCTGGCGCCTTAGCTGGTTGAGCTATAGGAGCCGAGCCAGAATTGAAAGTTTTGATCCCGATTTTATCACTGGCTTCAAAACCTGGGCTGTTAGTGGCAGGCCCCATTCTAGCCAGAGGCCTTTTCCTCAGATCTAAGAAGAAATTCACAGTGGTAGAATTCTTTGTATACCCAAAGCCTAGCAGGTGCTTGGTATACAGGAGGCATTCAGCAGATGTAGTTTTGTTTAATCGCAAGGACTGACCTAATAAGCAGGGTGAACTGTCAAAACCCAATGAAGCTGCCTCTGCACCTTATCAGAATCCTAGTTTAATCTTCTACCTGTACCTCCCCATCCTGTCTGAGCGCTAAGCACAGAATCTCTTCACAACCTTGAACCTTTGTGGCTGCCCAAGGCAAAGTAGTATGGTCAGCAGAGAGAACTTTGGGATTGGAGTTTTAATTTACCTCTCATCAGCTTTACCAGTATAAGCTTCAGTGCTTAATCCCTTTGAGCTTCTCTCTTCTGTAAAATGGGGATCATCTTTAAAACTCCAAAGTGCTACTGTTGAGATTAAATAGGATAGTGTGTGCCAAGCTCCTAGAAGAATGTTTAGTAACTTTCAGTTGTTTTATTTCCTGTTTGTTAGTCTTTTTATCAGGTTACTGGGGAAAGGATAAGTAGTTCACATAAATTGAGGTGTCAATTATTTTGAAAATGGCTTCCGCCAGGTTGAGCCATTTGCTTTGGGGAATAGGCAGACCCTATTCCTAGGCAAATTAAAAACAAGTAGGGTGCTTCCTTGTGACTCCAGACAGGGACACTTTAGAACTGTGGGCTCCCACTTCCTGTGCCTATCATCCCTGCTCATGCAGCCTTGAGTACCATGTGGTCACTGTCGCCTGAGTCACAGGGAGTGCTGCCAGACAAAGGTAACTGAGCCAGAGCCTTCCCAGAGCCTTGAAGGGCTGGAGCACTAGACCTGTTTTTCAACTCAAAGGGAGAATATACTGACTGTGTGTTTGTATTTCCTGACAAAAGCAGCCATTGACGTCAAGAGTTACCTCTGTTGTTAAGAAGTTACACCTGTGTGTTTTTCTAGTCTTTAATTTTGTATGTTGTTGGGCTTCAGGGAATGTTTATTTTTGCCAGTTTTGAGCTGGCATCATATCATTACATTAAATTTGCATATCACTTTTTAAAACATTTTATATACTTCTATTTTACTCCTTTAACAACCTTGTGAGTTCACCATTTCAGGTGCATCCCTTTTGTTTGTGAGGAGACTGAGGCTCTGATATATACCTGACCTGCCTATGTCACATGGTTCTGAAGCAGTGGCTCCAGGCTCCTCACCTCCCCCATTGCCCATCCCACTGGGGTGCCCGGGGTAGAGGTAGAAATAAGATTATGAGAAAAGCCCCTGGTCACACCACTTTTCTTCCTCCTCAACTCTGGGTTTCAGGTAATGAGGACATTCCTCCTTCCCTATGAATCCAGGTAGATTGGAATGGAGTTTTATGGTGAGAGCCAAAGGCCGCCTTCAAATGCACAGTTGTTCCACCTTTATTAAGCCTTCACATTTTATGTCTCTGAAGACCTACATTAGACAATTGTGGAGAGAGAGAGAAGGAGAGGAAGCAGGACAGTCATCCTGTTGCCCAGGAGGTGCCTGAATGCGCCTGTGCTGGGATGACTCCAGTGAGCCCCAGGTTGCTGCCCTGGCACCCGAGGTCACATACATGCCCCTTTTGGGGTGCTGGCATCCAGCTTTTAGTTCTGGTCTTATGAGGGAGACACTAGTAAGGTTTGGCAGGATCTGTGTGTAGAGAGCCTGGATACATTCATCAGTGGGACTCAGTAACTAAAAACAACTGTCAGTTGAACAGTAACTTGCTAGCTTTGTGGTCCTAGAGAAGTTACTGCAACTCTCTGTGCCTTGGTTTCCTTATTTATTAATGAGGACAATAATATTCCTCACGTCATAGGTTTGTTGTGAAGATTAAATGCTTAGAGAAAACTCAAAGTCCTTGGGGAAATGCCTCATGTAAATAAGTGCTTTGTGAATATTAGCTATTATTATATAACTGAATCAATGTTATTAAACCCCAAACTGTCAGTGAATTATATCGGTGTTAGCTATTGCCATTGTCATCTTCGTTATGATATTTCAGACACGTGAGCTTTGGAAATTAAAATCTTGGAAAACATTAATTTAATTGTCTTAAGTTTGGGGTTTGTAAATAAAGATAGACTTTGGAAATTCAGTTTTTAATGTCTTTAATTTATGACTTAAAACTATAAATTAGATATCTTTTTCTATTTTCACTTAGTGCCTTTTTAATCCATGTGCCAGTTGATTATTTAAAAGATTCTAAGGACTAAAGCCAAAATCCAAACAATTTAATCTGTTGTCTGTATGGAAAGTTACTTTAGTAAAAGTAGTTTTTACTTGTCACATCATGTGTTTTTGAAAATTAACCTGTTCTTAAATTATATAAGTGAATTGTTTTAAGTAGGTCTTGAAAATAAGCTCTTTGCCTCCCTTGTGGAGAGGTGGACTTGGAAGACATGAGAGTAATTTGGAAAAGGCTAGGTTATAATCCCTGCATAGCTTTGAAAAATGAGGGGCCAAAGAAACATTTTTAGTAATGGAGATTATTTTGGGATGTTTAAAGTTGTAACTTCTTTAATCTTAGAAGAAATAGACTATTACTAGACTATTAAGTACTAAAATGTGTAACCAACATTCAGACAGTTTAGCTATTCACATTTTTCAATTCTTTCTTGGTCACTCTTAAAATTCTTTCTTGGTCACTCTTAAAATATTAGGAAACAAACCATACATCTGGTTCTAATGCAGAACGTGGTAGTATAGATACAGTCATTTAACCTTAGCATTTATAGTTATTTGCCAAAAAATGTGATCATCTTCATTATTTAACTAATGATGATTATTTACATATTTAAGTAATTGATGATATGACATATAAACCTTTTCCTGTGAAAAAGAATTTTAAAACATTAATTACTAAGCAGAGATCTCAATCTACTACACTGCAATTCCTAGAGAAAGCCTTTTTATGTAGTAATTTCATGCAACATTATCCTGATTGTTGGTTCTCCTGGCTGTTGTGTTCACTTTACTCTCTTTGTTTGCAGTGATTTAGCCCTGCGGAATTGTTTTCTTACCTCTGACTTAAACGTGAAAGTGGGAGATTATGGAATAGGATTCAGCAGGTACAAGGTAAGGCAAAGGTTTAAATTTTGTCTCTTGAATCTGAGTTAATTTCAGTTGTGGAGTTGTGCCTCTCTGTTTTGGGGAGAGAGAGGCAAGAGTCTTGATCATGATGCCTTTCCAGAGAGGGATTTGTTCCAGTCATTTTAATGGTATTATTGGCTTCTTTTTGTGGTTTCTCTAAATTGGTGGCTTAGTGCCCAATGTTTTGTGACAACTTTCCAAAGGCTTTGTTTAAAATGACAGTGTTAATTGTTATAGTCTGATGGTGCATAATAAGTTTTAGAATGAACATGTGAGCAATAATAGTTACTATTACTTGTATAATAAAATGTACTTGTCATATAAATGTTTCTCCATTTGGTCAGTATATGTCAGTAAATTTTCAGCTCAAATTCAATAAGCTTTGGATTTAGTAGATGAGATTTTGATTTGTGTGTGTGTTTGTAGCCCACCTGAATGAGGTACCATAAGTGGGGCAAAGAATCAGATTGTCCCAGCTCCATGCTGTCAGGAGAACTTGGCTACACCATTTGCCCTCCATTTTCTAAGCAGCAACATAGGGATAATACCTGTTCTATTTTAGGGGATCTTGAGAGAATAAAGGGGTTATATTTTTAAAAACAAACTATGCAAATATGAATTGGTTAGTTATCTACATAGTGGCTGTAGTGCCTTGAGCACTTGCTATATACCAAGCATGTAGAAGTATAGAGTACTTGCCTGCATTACCTCATTTCATTCTTATTGCAAAGGTGGGTGGTTTGTATTATCCTCCTTTTACAGATAAGGGAAAAGACTTTATGTGTTTGTTGCTTACCCCAAGTTGTGTAGCTGTTAAATGTAGAATGAAGAACTTAGAGCCCAGTCTGTCAGATTCTGAAGCCTGCAGTCTTATTCATTAACCGGCATCTGTATTCGGTGGGTAAGGCCCAGTGTATTTTAAAAGATGTTTTGCTCGGTCTGTGTTGCGTGCATCAGACACGGCGTACCTTCCTTTTCCAGGAAGGATGACTTAGCAAGCATTCATGGCTGAGACACCAGCTGGTGAACCCCAGGAGGCTTCAGAGAAACTCCTTACCCACCTTCTGCCCAGAAAGTCTCTTTTCATGTCCACTTTTTTTCTGATTTTTTTTTAGGTTGGGTATGTTTTCTGAGAATGCTCTGGAATTAAATCATTGAGCTCACTAAAAGTATAATTCTATTCAAAATTCTGTATGCTTTCTAACAAAACAGGAGGATTATATTGAAACAGATGATAAAAAAATTTTCCCTCTGCGATGGACTGCTCCAGAATTAGTAACGAGCTTTCAAGACAGACTACTAACTGCAGATCAGACTAAGTATAGTAATATTTGGTATGTATTGATTTACCTACCCTTTTATTAGACTTTTGTTTGGCAAAGTCCTCATTCTTTCTCTTGGAGTAATTTCTTAAGGGAAAGTAATTATATAAGATGCAGAAACAAAAGAGTGCCCTGAAGTGTGAAAAAGCCTACGTAAAGTTATAATAGCAATTAGCACAATTGCAATACTGTAATTAACTTTTTGAAGACTGCCTTTCTTACCCATTTTCCTTTATAAAAGCAAAACCATGTTTGTTTTATATTCTGTGCCACCAACAGGGCCTGGTGTATAATAGATACTTAATACTTATTTATTGAAATGAATGAAAAAAACCAAAAGAGGTTTGACATTACTTAATACCGTGATTTATAGGGGTCATTTTAATGGAAGCTGAAAAGATGTATCTAAATCTTTGACTAATGATTTCTGTCCTGATCTTCTTTGTTTATAGCTACATGGGGTTTTTTTAATTTTTTTTTTTTTTAAAGCAATCCTCCTGCCTCAGCCTCCTGAATAGCTGGAAATAACAGGCATGTGCCACCATACCCTGATATTTTTTTTTTTTTTTTTTGGAGACAGAGCCTCAAGCTGTCCCCCTGGGTAGAGTGCCATGGCATCATGCTCACAGCAACCTCCAACTCCTGGGCTCAAGCGAGTCTCCTGCCTCCGCCTCCCAAGTAGCTGGGACCACAGGCACCCTGATAATTTTTTTAAAAAATTTTTAAGAGATGGGGTCTTGCTTTGTTGCACAGCCTGATTTCAAACTCCTTGACTCAAGTGATCCTTCCACCCCAGCCTCCTAAAGTGTTATGATTATAGGTGTGAGCCACCATCCCCCATTTTATAGCTTTATTTTGTGCTCTTGTTCTGCTTTTTTGTTTTCTTTTTCTCTTCTTGCCTTCTCTTGGATTAATTTATAACTTCCCTTATTGCTTATGAGAAGTCAGCTAGCTGTAATTCTACTAAGTTCTTTGAGGTAACGTGACTTTTCTTCTCTGGCTGCTTCTAAAATCTTCTCTTTATCTTTTTATATACATTATACAGTTTCACTATAATGTAAATGGGTGCAGATTTATAAATTTTTTCCTTGGGATTTACTTGGCTTTTCACATCTGTAGGTTAGTGTTGTTCATTGCTTCTTGAAAATTCTTAGCCCTTATCCTTTAAATATTGTTTCTCCCCCCTTTTCTGTCCTCTAGGAAGTCTAATTAGACGTGATGTAGCATTTTGCTTTATCTTGTGTCTCCTAATCTCTCTTATGTATTCACATCTCTTAGACTCTCTGTACCACATTCTAGATAATTTTTCAGACTTTTCAGACTGTAGCCACTAATTTTCTCTCTTTTAAAAATTCTTGGCTTGGCATCTGTTGTTCAGCGGTTAGGGCACTGGCCACATATTCACCAAAGCTGTTAGGTTCGAACTTGGCCCAGGCCTGCTAAACAACGACAACTACGACAAAAAAATAGCTGGGCATTGTGGCAGGTGCCAGCTACTCGGGAGGCTGAGGCAAAACAATCACTTAAGCCCAAGAGTTTGAGGTTGCTGTGAGCTGTGACTCCACTATGTCTCCCGAGGGCAGCATAGTGAGACTCTGTCTAGAGAAGAAAAAAAAATTCTTTCTTCACCTATGTCTGTACTTCTGTTAAATCTATTAAATTTTATAATTCCACCATTAATTTTTGAGTTTTAGAAGGTAGTTTTGATTTAAAAAATTTGTCATAGTGCTTTTTATAATTGGATTATGATCTATGCCAGATAATTCCAGTAACTAAAGTCTTGATCCTGTTGCTTCTTGATGGTGCCTTGTTTCCTCAGGGACGTTTTTGTGTTGGGGATTCCTGTAAATGTTTGTTTACAGGATCTGTGTTTGTTTCTCTTGGGTATGTGGGGGTCATGCCATTTGCAGGGCACTGTACTAGGCCAGAGCATTACATATTCAGCTTGAGATTTTTTGAACCACTCAGATAATATTTAGCTTAGGCTGCAAATCCAGGTAAAGGCGAAGTCTGTGGTTACAGCTTCTTAGGGCCTACTCCCCCTTACACACTCATTAATCTCTCCCCTTACACCCCACCTCATAGCATCGCAGTGCTAAGGCAGATTGCCTTTCAGGACTCTGAAGGGAGACAGGGTGGTTTTTTTTTTTTTTTTTTAGACAGAGTCTCAAGCTGTCCCCCTGGGTAGAGTGCCATTGTATCACAGCTCACAGCAACCTCCAACTCCCGGGCTCAAGCGAGTCTCCTGCCTCCACCTCCCAAGTAGCTGGGACCACAGGCGCCCGCCACAACGCCTGGCTATTTTTTGGTTGCAGCTGTCATTGTTGTTTGGCGGGTCCAGCCTGGATTTGAACCTGCCACCTTATGTGTATGTGGCTGGCACCTTAGCCACTTGAGCCACAGGCGCCGAGCCAACAGAGTGGGTTTATCCCTACCTTCAGGTCTCTCTGTGAGCCTTCTTACCTTGGGCAGGCCCCCTTATCTTGGGTCTGGCCCCTACCACTATCACTCCTACAAACACAAAAGCCCAAGGTCTGTGCTTCAGCAAAAGTCCCAAAGCAAAGGATGTTTTGAGTGTTTTTCTTAGTTTTCCCAGCTCTAGATTTTGTCTTTGTAATTCCCTACATTCTTATCTACTTTTAGATGCCTTTAAAAAGATGCTTTTTATGCTTTATCCACATTTTTACTGTTCACAGTCAGGGGACTGACTTGGCAATGTAGCCTGCATTCCCAGAGACAGAGCCAGCCCACGTTGTTGACGATTTGAGCAGTTGCTGGTGGCAGTGCCCAGTCATACCAGGCACAGAGACCACACTGCCTCATGCTGGGGTGAATAAGAAGAACCTTACTCGGAAAGTTTGGGGGTGGAGAGGGGATAATAACTACAGGACATTTTTCCTCCTAGAAGAAAGAGACCTACTGGTATTAAGGAGGCATAAGCCAGTGGGAAGGGAAGAGTTGACTCTGAGGCAGAAGGAGATGACTGGGACTTCTCTGGACTGGAGAGAATGCAGAGCTCTAGGAGACATGCAAGGAAAATGCCAAGAGCTGGTGGGACAGAGGCTGGGGACACCTCTGCTTCCTGTTCTCTGCAGAAAAGAAAAGAGGGAGGTGGCAGCTAGAGAGGGAACTGGAGGAGGGAAAGGGAGCTAACTTAGGGATTTAGAGAAATTAAGACAATTAGAGTTATTTGCCAAAGGGTAAGCCAGGCTTGGTGGTGATTTTCCTCAGTCAAATTATAAGCTTCTAAAGGTGATTAACACTATCCTAAATTTCTTTTATACAAAAATGGTCTTCTGGGCAGCACCTGCAAAAGGGTAGGGCACCGGCCCCATAATGCCGGAGGTGGCGGGTTCAAACCCAGCCCTGGCCCCCCAAAAAAAAAAAAAGGTCAATATGATCTTTCTCTTCTCTTCTATGCCAGAGAAGAGAAAGCAAGGCTTAGTTTCTAAATTAGATTGGAAGATTTGGTTCATTTTATTTAATACTCTGATAGAAATGATCTCTCAACTTAGTGAATGCTGATTTTTTTCAATGATTTGTGAAAGTATGTGAGAGAATTTAAAGTTGTTTTATACAACATCAAACAAACTATGCTTATTCAATATAGTTCTTCACATAAGCATCCTGGTGGGTATTGATCAAAGTCATGTAAACCACAAATGGATGAATGTCAAAATCATTGGGAGCTTTTTAGAAACAGTTTTGTAGGCCATACCTGGACTCTACCAACCAAAAGTCTTTGAGGCAGACCCTAAATACCAGTGTTTGTTTAAAACGTCCCAGATGGCACAGAAGAACAGCCAGGATTGGGAACATTGCCATAGATAGACGACTGTAATGCACGACAGAGGCAGTGATTGGTGAGGAGGACAATTCAGGGACCACATGGAGGAAAGGAACAGCATTTCATCTAACCTGAGCAGCAGAGACTGTGTTGGTGGGGTGTGAGAGAGGGCTGGGCAGGGACCAAGAAAGGGTGTTCCTGCTGCCTGGGCAACCCTGGGGCCTCGGAGGCTCAGGCAGTGTTCTCTCCTCTCCTGACATTGTGACCGTCATCAGAGAGATGGGACATCCCTGTATAACAGTAAGAAAATCCAGAATACCTAGGAGTGGCTAAAACAAAGAATGTTTGGGTCTAACAGGGAAGAGATTTTTTTTCCCATGTAAAGATTTATTTCAAGTATTTTCTGTGGGCGGCGCCTGTGGTTCAGTGAGTAGGGTGCTGGCTCTACATTCTGGGGGTGGAGGGTTCAAACCCAGCCCTGGCCGAACTGCAACAACAACAAAATAAAATGCCGGGCACCTGTAGTCACAGCTACTCGGGAGGCTGAGGCAAGACAATCGCCTAAGCCCAGGAGTTGGAGGTTGCTGTGAGCTGTGTGACACCATGGCACTCTACCAAGGGTGATAATGTGAGACTCTGTCTCTACAAAAATAAAAGATATTTTCTGGTGCTTATTGCTATTGTGAATGAGCTTTTTTCTCACCAAAATCTTCAGAATTTAGGGTGTTTATCTTTTCTCCCACCATTTTGCTAAAGCCTTGAAACATTCTAATGGTCTTCATATAACATCTTGAATTTTTAAAGGTAATAGTCATATTAACTTCATCTCTGTTATTATGCCTATTATCTCTGTTATGTATTTTTTCATTAGCTAAAACTTCAAGAGTGGTATTCCATAGTAAATTCGAGGGAGCATTCTTCCTTAATTTAATGGAAATGCCTCTTTTTTGTTACTGTGTTATTGACTCTTGGTTTTGGAGCTATCTTACCATGTTAAAGAACTCATTTTATTAATCTTTAATACACACCTTGTCCTTGAAATTACTAACCATGGATTGGTGCCTGTGGCTCAAGTGGCTAAGGTGCAGGCCACATACACCTACGGTGGCGGGTTTGAATCCAGCCTGGGCCCGCCAAACAACAATGATGGCTGCAACCAAAAAATAGCCGGGCGTTATGGCGGGCGCCTGTGGTCCCAGCTACTTGGGTGGCAGAGGCAGGAGACTTGCTTGAGCCCAGAAGTTGGAGGTTGCTGTGAGCTGTGATGCCATGGCACTCTACCCAGGGGGACAGCTTGAGGCTCTGTCCCCACCCCCCCAAAAAAAATTACTAACCATATAAATATGGATGTTAAGAATTTGACATCTAAAGAGAGAGGGAAATAACCACCATGTTCTTCTTTATGCAGGTCCCTGGGTGTGACACTTTGGGAACTTTTTGATAATGCTGTTCAACCATACTCAAACCTTTCCAACTTAGATGTCCTCAATCAAGTCATCAGAGAGAGAGATACTAAACTCCCCAAGCCCCAGCTGGACCAGCCTTATTCTGATAGATGGTTGGTAGCTTCACATTGGTTCTGTTTTGCTGTGAAGATGCTATGAAATGTTGGGAAAACACAAAAATTTAGGGGTGTATTTCTTCATTTCCCCTTTCACCACGACCTCACCATGAACTGAATTTCTTAGTGTGGTTGGCAGTGATTAAGGTATAGAAACTTGTGGAATGTTGAGTTTCCTTTGGGATCCTTGTAAAGTCTTTTTCTTATTTTAAAACAATTTATTGTAGTTCCATTAATTGCCTCTCCTGTGCTGCTCAGGTATGAAGTTTTACAGTTCTGTTGGCTGTCACCAGAGAAGAGACCAGCAGCTGAAGATGTACACAGACTACTGACTTATCTACGCATGCAGAGCCAGCGGGACTCGGAAGTTGACTTTGAACAACAGTGGAATGCTCTGAAGCCAAATACAAATAGCAGAGACTCTTCCAATAATGCTGCATTTCCAATTCTTGACCATTTTACCCGGGATCGGCTGGGCCGTGAAATGGAAGAAGTACTTACTGTGACTGAGACAAGCCAGGGACTGAGCTTTGAGTATGTCTGGGAGGCTGCAAAGCATGATCATTTTGACGAGCGCAATCGGGGCCATCCAGATGAAGCCTTGTCTTACACAAGCATGTTCTTTCCAGTTGAGGTTTTTGAGAGCTCCCTGTCAGATCCTGGGCCTGGCAAGCAGGATGATAGTGGCCAGGATGTCCCCTTAAGGGCCCCTGGGGTGGTTCCTGTTTTTGATGCACACAACCTTTCTGTTGGAAGTGACTACTATATCCAGTTAGAAGAAAAAAGTGGTAGCAACTTGGAGCTTGATTACCCTTCTGCCATGCTTACAAATGAAATGGGTAATCCTGAAAAGACAGGCGCTGAGCCGTCCCAGAGTATGGCACTTGGGAACCTTGACTTAGAGGAGTCTAGTACTGATGAGGATTTCTTCCAGAGCAGTACAGACCCCAGAGATTCTGGCTTACCCGAGGACTCACATGTTCCCAGCGGCCCTGAGAGCCCTTTCAACAATATATTTAATGATCTGGACAAATCAGAGGATTTGCCCAGTCACCAAAAAATATTTGACTTAATGGAACTAAATGGAGTTCAAGCCGACTTTAAGCCTACCACTTTAAGTTCAAGTTTGGATAACTCCAAAGAGTCAGTCATAACTTGCCACTTTGAGAAGGAAAAGTCCCATAAGCTTTTTGACTGTGATCCTCTTTGTCTGTCAGAAAATCTTATGCACCAAGATAATTTTGATTCATTGAATGTTGAAGAATTGTCAGAAAACTTTTTATTTCTTCAAGAGAAAAACTTACTGAAAAGCTCAGTGTCTAGCAAAGAACATGTAAATGATCTTCAAACAGAGCTTAAGAACGCTGGTTTTACTGAGACTATCTTAGAAACCTCACATAGAAACTCTTTAGATACTGAGCTTAAGTTTGTGGAAAATAAACCAGGCTTTACTTCATTACAAGAAAATATAAGTGCAAAGGATAAAGATACAGATGTGCTCACAGGCAACATTCTGAGCACCCCTTCCTCCCCGGAAGTGCAGGTCCCTACCTCACTGGAAACAGAAGAAACGCCTCATAATGTACCTCCAGATTCATTCCTGAAGCAGGGAGAAACCAAACCCATGTGTTTAGATGGCAGTGTCTCTGAGGACTGTCTCTGCCAAGACATCAATCCAGACACTGTGACCATCCCAGATGAAATTCTCTGGACTGATGCCAAAACTCACAGCGTTGGTGACAGGGCCCAGGACTCAACTCGTCAAAGTGAGGAGACCTTGAGAGGAACCAAAAGTGACTCCATTCTTATTGATGATATTCTCGCTGGTAAAGTAAGTTTAGGGAGTAGTCATCCTGAAATAGGACAGAATTTAGAAAATAAACTATTTTCAGAAAACCATCACAGTACTAGTTTTCTGGAGAAAAACTTGGAAGCTGTAGAGACTTTAAACCAGCTCAATTATAAAGATGCTACAAAAGAAGTGGGCTTGGTGTCCGCCCTTTCCTCGGACTCTACCAGTCAAGACAGCCTCTTGGAAGACAGCTTGTCAACTCCCTTTCCAGCCTCAGAGCAGTCTGTGGAAACCCCTGACTCTTTGGATTCAGTGGATGTCCATGAGGCATTGCTGGATTCTTTAGGCTCTCACACTCCTCAGAAACTCCTGCCCCCTGATAAGCCAGCGGACAGTGGCTATGAAACAGAGAACTTGGAGTCTCCTGAGTGGACTTTGCACCCTGCTCCCGAGGGCACCTCTAATTCAGGCGTTGCTTCAGCAGGCGATGGTGTTCATACCAGTTTGCCACCCAACCCGGTCATTGTCATCTCAGATGCAGGTGATGGTCACAGAAGTACAGAAGTGACCTCACAGACTTTTGCACCTGGCTCCCAGAGTTCATATCGAGACTCTGCCTACTTCTCAGATAATGACTCTGAGCCCGACAAAAAGTCTGAGGAGGTTCCAGAAACCTCCACATCGGCCTTGATATTAGTACAAGACCAGTCCTTGCCTGAGCTGATCATCCTAGAGCAGAGTCCCAGTGCTGAGGATAGTTTTCTGGAAACCAAAGAGAGCCAGCCAGATCAGAGTTGTCTGTCTGCTTTACAGAATTCCAGTCACCTGGAATTAAGAGAAGCATTGGAGCCACCACAGACTGCTGTTTCCAAACAGATACATCCTGCAGATGACGAGGCTGGTAGTCCTTTGAGTTTGCTGAATTCAGAACTTAGCAGTGGCGATGACTTTGAGACACAAGTTCAGCCCTGCACTCTCACTTCCACTGGAACCAACACTAATGAACTCCTTGCATTTGCAAATTCGGCGGTGGACAAGTCCTTAACCAGCCACTCTGACAGCCCCAAGTTGAAGGAGCCAGATATTGAGGGAAAATACCTAGGGAAACTCGGTATGTCGGGGATGCTCGATCTCGCTGAGGACGGGATTGATGCAGATGAGGAGGACGAAAACAGCGATGATTCAGATGAGGACCTGAGAGCCTTCAACCTGCACAGTCTTAGCTCTGAGTCAGAAGAGGAGACTGAACACCCTGTGCCCGTGATCCTCAGCAACGAGGACGGGAGACACTTGCGGAGTTTGCTGAAGCCCTCAGCAGCCGTGGCCACTGATCAGCTACCTGGTGATTGGAAGAAAGAAAAGAAGGCAGTCACATTTTTTGATGATGTCACAGTTTACCTTTTTGACCAGGTATGTGTTACCGCTAAATTATTTTTTACATACACACACACACACAAGCGTTCCAAAATGTGTTAGGAAACTGAATGTGGTCCTTTTGTTTACTCGAGACAGTCTCTCTCTGTCAGCCATGCATGAGTGCTGTGGCATCATCATAGCTCACAAAAACCTCAAACTCTTAAGCTCAAGTGATCCTCCTGCCTTGTCCTCTCTAGCAGCTGGGACCTACAGGTGCCCACCACAACACCCAGCTAGATTTTCTATTTTTAGTAGAGATGGGGTCTCACGCTTGCTCAGGCTAGTCTCAAATTCCTGAGCTTGACAGTCCACCCACCTGGTCCCCCCAGAGTGCTAGGATTACAGGTGTGAGCCACTGCCCAGCCTGTGGTCTGTTTTTTAATTGGTATTTTGAGGCAATTGATTGTGATTATTCAAAAAAAAAAAAAAGGAATTTGGGGTTGGTCGCAGTTCTAAGAATATGCAGAAATGTGGTTTGTTGGGAACTCCTGTTAGATTGAGGGAAGGAATCCTGGGTGATCTTCCTGGATCTCCTCACAGAGTCTTACTAAAATCAGTTACCCTTTACCGACTGAGTTTTTGGACAGTTGGTAGTAGTACCTGACACTTGGGTGTAAGCCTAGGACACTTCCTGGCACATAGCTCTGGAGACACACTGGTGGCAATAGCTCCTGCATTGTGTGTCTGGGGGCTGGGACATGTGCACAGCAGGAGTGTCTGTGGTCCTGCTTGGAGCAGACAATTAGTGTGCTCTGCTTCTTTAGCAGCTTACAATTCAAGCATTCTTTTTTTATTGTTCTTTTTTTACTAGCCCTTGATTTTGCTTCTTGCATCAGCTAGATTACGAGTAAACTCAGGTATGGGATATGGGGATGGGGTCCCATCCGGCTCCAGACTATACGGGAGTCTTTGGCATCTCCTTTTGCAGAGATTGCTCTCCTTTTTCTCTTAGTTCTGGGAACCAAGGCCTCGGGCTCAGTCCCTGTGACGCACAGTTCCTCTCAGGCCCTCAGCCCTGGCATCCTGAGTGCCATTCCGCCTCCTTCCCCCAGGAGCTGCATCTTCCTTTGGTTGCACATTACTTTATGCTTTGTTGTTTCTCTGTGTCATGTTCACTTTTCTGTTTATAATGTTTCTCAAAAAATCATTACTCATATTTTATACTACAGCATATATTGAGAGGAGGTAGATGTTTGGGAGAAAAAAAAAAAGGAAGAGTAGCTTCTGAGGCTCCGCCGGACCTATTAAACCTGAATCTGTAAGAGGGGTCAGGAGGCTGCCTTCCGCTTTTTATTCCCAAGTGGTTCTTCCACACATCTGAATTCAAGAACCTTTGAGCTAAGGGAGCCTACAAAAATAGCATAGAAGGGAGAAAGGGGTCATTTGTGTTCCGTGATCAGTGCATCCCAGTAGCCCTTTCTTTACTGACTCTTGAACTTGAATTGTAGTCACATTTCTGCATCCATAATGGTGGTCTATAGATGGGACAGAGCGAGTTGGGATATAGCTAGAGCAGTAAGATGGACACGGCCTCACAAAAGAGGCATCAGGCAGAGGATGCCATGGCTCCATAGGCTGGACTCACAAGCATGTCTTTGTGGAATGTTATGTTTTTCTGGGTTTACATGACAGGACAGAATTATAAAAGGTTAATAGTCATGAAGGGCACACTAGTTACCAAATCAAAGGTGCAAAGATAAATGTGGGACACACTTAATAGATGTGAGACTTTGACTGAGGGGTTAGTGTCATAGAAAAAGTTGGAAAAGTGGGTTAAGGGCAGAGAAAAATCCTCAAAGTTTGATGATCTAAAAGTAGTTTCCTTCAGTGTCTCATGCAGTTTGCCTTGGAGCCACAGCTACCCGCATTTCAAGCTGATGATTGATGGTTTTCTCCTCCTCCTACTCTGTAACTTAATAAGCTGGGTTTTGATGCAGTTTAGTTTTTAAGTAGTTTTTAAATATCTTAGTTGTAGTGTTTTTAGTTTTTTAGTGTTCATGGGTTTTGGCAGCATTTGCCTTGGCTGTTTTAGTATTTGTTAGTTCAACAAATACTTAACTACATGTGAAGCAACATTCTCATAAGATCTAGCCAGGTTGGTGAACTGTCTAATGGTGCTAGCACCTTATCCATGGGGTCTCATTTTTCTTCTCCACACAGGGGTGGCGGTTGTCACACATCTTCACAGTGAGGACCATGAGGCCCAGAGAAATTAGACTTTGCACAGGAGTATAGCCCCAGTGAGGAATGGTGCCAGGACTTGATGTAAACCTCCTGGATCTAGTGCTGAACTTTTCATCACCCAGCCCTGCAGCCTCTGGGATGGGTCTTTAAAATCTGAAGCAACACGGTTTACTTTTAGCTCTTACATTGTCTTTCTTGGATACACTGTTCTTGAGGCAAAAGTAGTTGGTAATGATGCTTGCCCTTCTGAGCTTTTGAGGAATAAACATTCTTAGACTCTCCCCCGCCCCCCAGGTATTTTCATTGGTTTGGTTTGGTTTGTTTGTGTCAACTGTCTTTAGTTTTGGCATCAGAGGAATGCTGGTCTAAGAATGAGTTGGGAAGTAGTTCTTTCTCTTACAGTTTCTGGAAGAGATTATGTAAATTTGTCTTTCCAGAGAATCAATTTTGGTTTGGTGGACTACATTTTTTTTTTTTTTTTAGTTTTGGATTTATTTTGCTTTTCTTTTTTATAAACTTTTTTTTTTTTTTTGGAGACAGAGCCTTCAGCTGTCGCCCTGGGTAGAGTGCTCACAGCTCACAGCAACCTCCAACTCCTGGGCTTAAGCAATTCTCTTGCCTCAGCCTCCCAAGTAGCTGGGACTACAGGCGCCCACCACAATGCCTGGCTGTTTTTTGATTGTACCTTCCATTGTTATTTGGCAGGCCTGGGCTGGATTCGAATCCGCCAGCTCTGGTGTATGTGGCTGGCGCCTTAGCCAGTTGAGCTACAGTTGCCAAGCCTATGTAAACTCTTATGATAAAATCTTAAGGCTGCCACCGAGTAGCATGGAGGCAGTTGGCAGCGGCAGAGGCTTGGGTGAGTTCAAGATTCAACTTCACCTGTAACCTACCACCATGGCCAAGGAAGGCATTGCTGCTAGAGGTGTAATGGACATAATGGACATTAACACTGCTTTATAAGAGATGCTAAAGACCACCCTCATCCACAGTGGCCTGGAAAATAGAATCTGCAAAGCTGTCAAAGCCTTAGACAAGTGCTAAGCCTGTCTTTGAGTGCTTGCATCCAACTGTGATGAGCCTATGTGTGTCGAGTTGGTGGAGGCCCTTTGTGCTGAATACCAAATCAGCCTAATTAAGGTTGATGACAACAAGAAGCTAGGAGAATGGATAGGTCTTTGTAAAATTGACACAGAGGAGAAACCCCATAAAGTAGTTGGTGGCAGTTGTGTAGTAGTTAAGAACTATAGCAAAGACTCTCAGGCCAAAAGATGTCATCAAAGAGTACTTCAAGAAATGAGTAAATAAAACTTTGGCTCTAGCCAGGCGTTGTGGTGGGTGCCTATAGTCCCAGCTACTTGGAAGGCTGAGGCAAGAGTATCACTTAAGCCCAAGAGTTTGAGGTTGTTGTGAGCTGTGACTCCACAGCATTCTACCGAGGGCAACACAGTGAGACTCTGCCTCAAAAACAAAACAAACAAACAAAAAAAACCTTTGGCTCAAAAAGAAAAAAAAAAAGGGCAGCTCCCATATCTCAGTGGGTAGGGTGCCGGCCACATACACAGAGGCTGGGGCAGGGTCGAGCCAGGCTTGGGCCAGCTGAAAGCAACAATAACAACTGCAAAAAAATAGCTGGGTGTTGTGGTAGGCTCCTGTAGTCCCAGCTACTTGGGAGGCTGAGCCAAGAGAATCACATAAGCCCAAGAGTTTGAGATTGCTGTGAGTTGTAACACCCTGGCACTCTACCGAGGGTGACAAAGTGAGGCTCTGTCTCAAGAAAAGAGAAAAAAGATAAAAGCTTAGGATATGAGACCTTCTTTTCTAATATTAGCATTTTAATGCTATAAATGTTCCTCTGTGTACTACTTTAGCTGCATCCTACCATTTTTGATGTGTTGTATTTTCATTTTCACTCAGCTGAAATTAACTTTTTAAATTTTTTTTAAGCCTTCCTCTTTTGTAAGTATATTGTTTAATTTCCAAAGGTTGGAGATTTTATCGTTCTGTTATTGAGCTCTAGTCTAATTCCATTATGCTCTCAGAGCATACTTTGTATGGTTTCAATTATTTTATTTGTTAAAGTTTATTTCAGAGACAGGATATGATCTGTCTTGGTGAATGTTCCATGTGTACCTGAAAGAATGTTTTGATATTATTGTTCAGTTCTTCCGTATCATTGCTGATTTTTCTATCTACTTGTTAATCTATTACTGAGAGAGAAATATTGACATCTCAAACTGTAATAGATTTGTCTATTTCTCTTTTCATTTATGTTAATTTTTGTTTCATGTATTTTACAAATCTGTACATATGTATACACATTATGTCTTCTTGCCAAATAGACCTCCTCATCATTATGCAGTGTCCTTCTTTATTTCTTTGTCTTATATTCATAAAGAATTTATAAAAGCTGGATTCTCTTGCCTTTGGTTTTTGTTTATTTGGTTTTTTTTTTTCTTCATTTGAGATAGGGTCTCAATATGTTGTCCAGGCTGGATTAGAACTCCTGGTCTCAAATGATTCTCCTGCCTCAGTCTCCCAAGTAATTGAGACCACACGTGTGCACCACTATACCTAGCTCTGCTTTTTTTTTTTTTTTTTTTTGCAGTTTTTGCAGTTTTTGGCTGGGGCTGGGTTTGAATCCACCACCTCCAGTATATGGGGCCGGCACCCAACACCTTGAGCCACAGGCACTGCCCTGCTTGCTTTCTTCCTTTTTTTTGCGGGGGGGTGGGGAGGAACAGAGCCTCAAGGTAGAATGCCATGGTGTCACAGCTCACAGCAATCTCCAACTCCTGGGCTTAAGTGATTCTCTTGCCTCAGCCTCCCAAGTAGCTTGGACTATAGGCACCCTCCACAACCCCTGGCTACTTTTTGGTGGTAGTTGTCATTGTTGTTTGGCAGGACTGGGCTGGATTCTGACCTACCAGCTCTGGTGTATGTGGCTGGCACTTTAGCTGCTTGAGCTACAGGTGCCGAGCCTCTCCTTTCTTTTGATTAGTGTTTCTATGCAAATAAATGTTTAAAAATATGCTCAAATCTTTTCTATCTACAAGAAATTCATATCAAATAGAATGATATGGGTATATTAAAAGCATGAAGATGAAACTTTATAGAAGTAAAACATGACTTAGTGTTCATCTTTTGCAATTACAAGAGATGCTCCAACATGACTTGTATTCATCTTTTGTTATTGGTATATATTGAGTATCACAATTTTAGTACAGTTTTTTCCTTTCTTAAAATGTGTATACGTTTTTTGGGCACCCTCTTTAAACAAACTCAGTAGGAAACAAATAGTATTACACAATTGATCTTTGAACAATATAGTTTGAACTGCACAGGTCCACTTATATGCAGCAGCTTTTCCCCCCAACCAAATGCATGTTGAAAATACAGTATTCATAAGATAGAAAACCTGTTTATATATAGGGAGGGCCAACATTTTGTAGACGCAGTTTTTGTAGGGCTCACTGTGGGATTCCAGTGTGCCCGGATATTATTATATATAGGCAGTCTTAGAATTAATCTCTCAAACATACCAAGGGATGACCATTTACCAAGATAGTTTCTATAGTCATTTCTTAGTATCCCAGGGGAATTGGTTCCAGGAAACCACCCCACCCCCAGATAACAAAAATTTGAAGCTGCCCAAATCCCTTATATAAAATGCTATAGAATTGGTATATAACCTATGTACATCCTCCAGTATACTTTAGATAACTTCTAGATTACTTATTATATGTAATACCAATACAATGTAAATGCTATACAAATTTGGACAGTGAAGTCCGCAAACTCATTCTAGAAAAAGTGCTATATACCTCATTGCTGAAAATCACTATGGTCACCTTTGAAATACTCTCCTTGGCCGTCTAGTAACTGTAGTGATAGTACCTTAAGTATACATAGTACCTCAGCAGTGAGGTATGTAGCACTTTTTCTAGAAGGAGTTCAAGAACTTCATTATCTGACCTCAAGTAAATGTTGTTATACTGTACTTTTTATTTTATTTTTATTCTAAATATTTCAGTTGCAGTTGTTTGAATCTGTAGATGTGGAACTCTTGGAAATGGAGAACTGACTGCACTTCTGTTGTTCTTTGTTCATTATTGATGTTCCCAATTTTTTTTCTGGTATCATTTCCCTTCTAACTGAAGAAGTTTGTTTAGCTTTTCTTTGTACTCCTTTTTTGGGGGTGGGGTCTCACTACATTGCCCAGGCTGATCTTGACTTCCTTGTCTCAAGCAATCCTCCTGACACAGCCTCCTGAGTAGCTGGTAGATGGGATTGCATGCATGTGCCACCGTATCCAACTTCTTTTTTAAATTTAAAACAAATTCTTTGTTTTCTTCCATCTGATACTATCTTTATTTCATACTCATTCCTGAAGGATATGTTCTCTGAAAATAGAATTCTGAGATGACAGTTCTTTTCAGCACTTTAAAAATGTATCACTTCTTCTGGCCTTCATGGTTTCTCATGACAAATTTGCACTCATATCATTATTCCCCTGTAAGTGCAAGTTGAGTATTCATTATGCAAAATTCTTGGGAGCAGAAGTGTTTGGGATCCTGGATTTTTTTCAGATTTTGGAGTATTTGCAGTATACTTACCCAAATCTGAGAATTCAATATCCCAAATGCTCTAGTGAGCATTTCCTTTGAACATGATGTCAGAGCTCATAAACTTTGAGATTTGAGGCAGGGTACAGTGGCTCATGCCTGTAATCCTAGCACTCTGAGAGGCTGAGGAGGGTAGATTGCTTGAGTTTAGGAGTTTGATACCAGCCTGAGCAAGAGCCAAACCCTATTTCTGCTAAAAATAGAAAAGTCAGTTGGGCTTGGTGGCAGGCACTTGTAGTCCCAGCTAGTAGGAAGGCTGAGGCAAGAGGATTGCTTGAACCAGGAGTTTGAGGTTGCTATAAGCTAAGATTTTTCTTCGTCCTTAGCTTTCAGCAGTTTGCTTATGATAGATGTATCTGGGCATGGATTTCTTTGTATTTATCCCATTCCAGTTTGCTGAGCTTCTTGAATCTAGTTTTATGTCTTTCACAAATTTGAGAAATTTTCAACCATTATTTTTTTCCTGAACTTGTTGTGCACCACATTTGGTCTCTTCTCCTCCCAGGACTCTAGCATTAGACCTTTTGGTATTGTCCACAGGTCCTGGGGCTCTGTTCCTTTTTTTCCTCACATTTTTTTTCCCTTGGTGTTGTTTGGATTGGATAATTTCTGTTGCTCTATGTTCAAATTCCTAATTCCTCTGTCATCTTCCTTCTTCTTTTGAGCCGTCTAGTAAGTTTTAAATTTTATTCTATTTTTTCTATTCTAAATTTGTATTTGTCATTCTTTTCATCATCTATTTTTTTAAGACTTTCTGTATTTCCATTTATTTTAAGAGTACTTTTACTTGTAAGAGCATTTCATTTTTATACACAGTAATAGTCTTTTCCAGGTAATTCCACTTTGACATTGGCATCCATGGATTGTCTTTTCCCCTGTGAATTGAGGTTTTCCTAGTTCTTTGTACATTAAGTAATTTTAGATTTCATATCCTCACATCATGTTAAAGTGGCTCTGTTTTGTTTAAATTCCATGGAGGTGTTATTTTTGTCTTAGCAGATTTGACCTGGTGGGTTTAGGCCACAAGTTCCCGCCAGCCTTCTATGGGTTGTGGTCTCAGTGTCAGTTCCTCTTTGAAAGCCTTTGCTGTGCTATTTGAACCCGACTCACACTTCTGCAGCTCCAGGCTGGAACTTGATAGTTGTCTCCCTGTGGTTCCCTTTTCAAGGCATTGGTGTGCTGTTCAGGGTCAGATCTACCATGAGCAGCTCAGGACTAAGCCTAGGAGTTCCTCAACAGCTTTATGGTCTCTTCTCTCTCTGTGAGGTCCCTGATACTTCCGATTCTTTGGTCCTCCCCTTTTTGGTCCTTCAGCCAGAAAGTTGGGGCTTTAGTTACCATACTATGCTGCACATTACCTACAACTCTGCCCATTCTTCAGAGCCTCTTTCTGAGTGTCAAGAGGCTCCTTTCTGCTTCTAGAACCAGAACCAGAGGCTTATCCTGGAACGCCTATTTTCAGCACCCACTTTCGATTTCGGGCTTGGTTGATTCCAGGCCAGGGGACATGGGAGGGAAAAGTGGCAAACTCGGTGCTGGTTTGCTGGTGCTTTGAATCCTGGCATTCTTCCCCAGTCTGCCTGCTGCTGTTTATGTTCCTAATGCCTGACAGAGTGGCTTCATGTGTGCCCAGGTGTGAGAGCTGCATGCAGAGGGCCCAGGCTCAGAACCAGTATTGTTTTAAGATACACACTTCATAGTTAGCAACAGATCCACCTGCCAGCCTGGGGTGTGGTTACACTGGTGGGTTCCCATGAGCAGGACTTTGCTCACAGTTTCTGTTTGGCATTTCAGGAGACCCCAACCAAAGAACTGGGGCCCTGTGGAGGAGAGGCACGTGGCCCGGAACTGAGCGGCTCAGCACCATCTGCAGGCCCCCCCTACCTGAGCAGGTGCATAAATTCCGAAAGTTCCACTGATGAAGAAGGTATTTCACTTCATTGATTAGTTTTTAAAGAAACTGAATAACAGAGCTTTGAATAATGTAAGTGGTTTTTGAGGGTAAGGGGTTGCCTAGTGTTTTAAATGATGCCTTCCCAGCACCTGGGAGCAGCCTCCCAGCTGTCAGCCTAGCACACCTGTGCCTTCTTTATCATACAGTGATAAAGGGAGGGTTTTTTTATTTTTTTATTTCTAGGAGGTGGCTTTGAATGGGATGATGACTTCTCCCCAGATCCTTTTATGTCAAAAACAACAAGTAACCTTCTCAGCTCCAAGCCTTCTCTTCAAACATCAAAGTACTTTTCCCCGCCACCACCATCCCGGGGCTCGGAGCAGAGTTGGCCCCATGTGGCACCCTACTCCCGGTTCTCCATCTCTCCTGCCAACATTGCCAGCTTTTCCCTCACACATCTGACTGACTCGGACATCGAGCAAGGAGGTGAGGGTGCCATGTGTGATGGGGTGAGGGGTGGGAAACGCTCCCTGTTGGACATGGTGGCCTGTTGATCTGATGTTCTCACAGTGTTTGCTGAGTAGATTTTGTTTTGTCAGTCCCCCATGGTCTTGACACTGGCTCTTGGAGCCACATTCCCTGTTTTCAGGCCTTAGTCATTCTGCAGGTTCCTTACTGCTTGTCACTGCAGGCTTGAGCGAGCTCTGGGTCACTAGGCCTTCCCCAGGTTGGAATTGTCCATCTTCTCTGCATCCCCCTTTTCCTTTTTGCTTGCTAGTCACCTTTCCCCAGCCTCCTGCCTCCCCCACATAGGGAAGCTGCTCTTCATAGCCTTGTGCTCTTAAGAGTCCTTGACCCATGATTTTGGAATTGAGCCCAAATGTATCTGGCTCTACCCCTGGGAATGTTGATTTTGCCATTAAGTCTTGATCTTTGCATGGTCCTAGAGGACCAAGTGGGTAGGACCCATTTGAAGTGGTGGTATCTGCACATATGGCTCCTTGTTTCCCCATAACTAGATTGAAAGATAAACCTTGATAGGTACACTTTTTAATTTGAAGTTTACAGATCAAATAATAAATATGAAACATAAAGAGCTTCTTTCTATTTGTGTTTGTGCTGATTAGATATGCCCATTACTTAAAGATCTGTCAGAGGGGCAGATGTGTGGGGCAGACCCAATTGCTGCCATGCCCTGGTGTTCGCATCCAGCTGACCTGTGAGCTGAGCAGATGTGTTTATGGGAGAGTCGGGCAGGTGCTGCTTCTAAAAGGAGACAGAGTAGCTTGGGCAGTTGCTGGGGTGCAAGCACTGGGTTCAGTTCCTCTTTTTGCAGCACACCTCAGAGACTGTCCAATCTGTTACTGTCTGTCATGATTGTTTTCTAAAACCCAGTTTTGTTGTGTTGCTTCCTCTCTTCTAAATAGGAAGCAGTGAAGATGGAGAAAAAGACTAGGCAGCTGCTGACATGCTCTCAGGTCCGAGGCTGCTCCTGTGGGGCCACAGTCCTGTGCCCTCAGCCCAAGCAATGCCATCCCTTCGACCCTTGCTGAGATTGGGAGAGAGCACCAGAAGGTGAAAGGGAGATGCCCGAGCTGAGTTGGGGCCTGGGGGAGCCATGGTAGGGAGCGTGGCCATGTCCCAGCAGCTGGTGTCCCTCAGCTCCTGCACCTGTGGCTGCTCTCACACTTGAAGTGCTCACGTGGTGGTAGTTCTGGGGAAGTGCCCACACCACCTTTGCGTGTGGAAGGGTGCGTCTGCTTTCCAGGTGGGTGTTCTCTGTGTCTGCACCTGTACACCTGGTCCATGCCTGGCGCCACGGAGAACGCACTAGGGAAACGGTCACGAGTGAGCCATATTTATTATTTTTAAAGAAATCACTAATTGCTTTCTGTAATTGCACTGTGGATAAATATTAAGAGTCTCCAATGTTGTACAGAATCTTAAATTATTCCAGGAAAATAAGGCAGGTCAAGCTGGTGCTATCCACTAGTTTGATTTTTTTTTTTCCTGTTTTATAGTTTGTTTGCTCTGCATGGTACTTGTAAAGCTTAAATATTTTCAGTGTTCTGCTGTCTTTAGAATTGTTGGAACTGTACATATGGTACTCTTTCATAAATGATAAACAATTCTGAATGTTAGTGTTTTATGTTCTTATAGGAAGTACTTTCAATGAGTCCAGAAACACCACTCTGTTGTGTTGATTGAAACAAACACATTTTTGTCTCTTCTCCACAAGGTGGTTTCTCTGCAGCAAATGAGGCTTCTCTCTGAGGAGCTGAAGGGTCTTGCAGTTTCTCATGTAATCCCCCCACCCCCATCTTTTCAAAACCTTTTGGTAAGAATCGATCAGTGGTGCATCCCAGAACTCAGTGTCAGCTTCTGATGCCCAGATGGCCTGGCTCTCACTGGGGGCGTCCTGGTGGAGCAGGTCAGGTGAGCTGTAAACAGAGAAGGGTCACGGTGACACTTCCTTTCAGCACAGCTCTTCTGCGTGTTTGAGGAGGCCAGACTACTGTGTAACTCCAGTGTTCTTATAGATCCTTCCTTCAAGAAGCCGGGGAACTCAGAGGAAGATGTCTCTCCACAAAGGGCTCCAGTTGCCAAGGATGGTTTGAGTGAATTGTTTGTACACTTCTGGTGGTGTTGGTTTGAGCTTTTAAAAAATCTCCACAGCTGAATTTTCTCCTCAGAGCACTCCAAGTCATTTCTAGGTGTGGCCAGTCTCTTTGAAACCTAGGAGATACACTATACCCTGCACCTGTGGAGCAGTGAGCTGAGGGACAACAGCAGAGCCTTCAGCAGCCAACATGTCCTCTCGGTTGAGACCTTGGGTGGCCCTGTGTGGCCCTGGGGCTTATCTGCATGGACCTTTCCCTTCTGTATTGGGCACCAAGTTCTCCTTTTGTGTTGAAAGGGACCGAGTATTTCCAGTGCACCTTTGTGGTGTTGGCGGGAACTGGGTGTTCATAATACAAGGATGACTTCATTTTGCCCTCCTTGAGTTCTGCTTTGATGTAAGGAAGCCTCCAGTGGCCCGGGCAGCATGGCCACACTGTGCTGAGGGCAGCACCATTTGTTTCAGATGGGTCCTCAGGCCTGTGGCACTGGCCCTTCACCCCTGATGTTTTCCGGTGCTGATAGGCTCCCCAGGCCTGGGCTAGGGCTGCCTAGTGTAAATCAGAGGAACTTAGGTTCTAATGCAAAATGCAAATGTGGGTGTTAGCCAGAGTTTATATGGCAGATTATGACCTTTATTACCAATTCTGGACTTCCTCCACTAATTTTTTATACTAAGCAATAACTTTCCAAAGCAAGAAAATTTAGAATGAAGAAAGAGTTCCCCTGATCCCCAGTTTGGTGTAAACATAGCGTGCTCCTGGGCCGTGCAGAGAACACTGACTCTTGTGATGTGCATATGTTTTTTAAAAAATTAACAGGGCATTAGATAAATGATTTTGCCAAAATTGTCAAAACTCACAATTTCTTGATATGGAGACTTCCTGAATTTTCTGGATTTTTACATCTAACTGCCAGTCTTGGTTGACAGAGAAATGAGAAATGATTGTTCTCATTTTTTCAAATTATAGATTTAAAGAGTTCAAATTTAATGAGTAAAATCAAGCAGACCTATAAGATATATAATCTTCTTATACAATCAGCCTAGAATAAATTTATTGATATTTTGGGGTTGTACATTTTTCACTATGATTAAGGAGATTTTAACAACATAATTCCCAACTTTAAGTCTGTTATCACTCTCATTAATTGCCAAAACATTTTATACCTTGAGTGTGTGTGGGGGGGGGTAGAGTAGTGTATCTTAGTGTGGTGTTGCATGGAAGGGAAAATTTATATTTATAATAAACATGGGTAAACATGTTCTTTTGAAATCTCAAGCAATACACAAGAAATTTAATTAAGTAGATTGAAATTTTCAGTCCATTTTTGAAATGTCAGCATGTGCTTTGTTCAGTTCATTTTTTTTAAATTAATAAGTTGGTTAACAGTAGTGGGTTTTCTAAATATACTTGTTCCACTCAGTTGTGCAATGAAATAAACCAGTGGCATTAGATGATATGTGGGGCAATGTAGAATACCTGGTCCCAGGAATATTCCCTGGCTTCCTTTTCGAGGCAATCCAGATTTTAATTAGTCTTACTTTGATGGGGTTTGTGTATTTTAAATCCTATAATAAAAATCTTTCATTTTCTTCCTAGCTAGATGCTAATTTGTGACTAAATAACCCTATTACAAGCCAGAAAGAGCAGTGTAGAAAAAGTGTCCCCCAGCTTCTTCTGAGAATTGGACTGTGTGTCTGGGCAAGAAGTTGTTCATCTTTAGGGTAAAAGAACCTCAACAAAGCTGAATTGAAAACAGAGCATTCATTCTATTTTTAAATGTACAGATTCGATTGTTTCTATAGAAATGAGTTTAAGAAAAGTCTTTGTATGTCTTGCTGCCGTAAAAATGCCTTTCAAAACCTCTTCCTTTTATCCATATTTCCCATAGGTATTTGTAAAGTTAATGACATATTGCATGTCTGTCCTGAGGAGCCGGGTTGGAAGGGAGGCAGCTCCTAGCCCATCACCTGAAAATTCAGAAGTAAACCACAGTTACACTCCAAAGGTTGGGCTTTAGTTATGGGGGCTTCAAAGCATTAGCCCTATGAAAAGTAGCCTTAAAGTAAGAATGAGTGTACACAATTATTTTGGACTTAAATCTCAGAAACAATATTCCTAAGTAGTAATTGGATTGGCTTAAGCCTTGGCTATTAATAAAGAAAATTCTCTTTAGTATACAAATAAATTCTTAAAGAAGTGTTGACAGTATTGAATTACCAACAAACCTGTTAAAATGAATTTGAGTGGCTTAACCATGTGCTGTTAAAGTGTTCAGGTTTGCATGGGTGGGGTTGGATCTGGAACCTGGTATATGTGTCCACTGGTTGCTTCCAGCTGCAGATGAGGACTTATGGAGGAGTCATATCGACCGGGTCTCCCCATTGTACTTTAACACAGTCGAAAGAGGTTCACGGCAATATTAACAGTTAATGAACTTTCAGTTTAAATTGTGTACATTTTTAAATTGTAAGATTTTTACTGTATATTGATGCATAGTGTGATTCAATAAATTGCTTGTAATTTAAAAACTATTTAATATTCAAAATAAATATAGTTATATATTTATAAACTGTTGCTGCATTTATTCCATATTTTTTCCACCTTGCGAGACTGGGTGGCCTGGTACAATCCTGAGTAAGAAGCTGTTCATCTTGTGTGCCCACAGCTGCTTCCCTGGCCTCTGCCCTGATCTCTCTGGAGATTGTGTGCCCTTTTCCTTGACAAACCTAAATTCCGCACACTCCTGTGAGCATGAAGATTTGTGTAATCCTGAAAAATGATAATCATGTATGTGGTGGAGTGTTGCCTTGAAGTGTATCTGTAATCCGAGGCCTTTGCACTCAGTGAAGAACTTCAGAAGCATTTTCAGTTATGTAGTGCTCCGTTGGCCCAGCCTCAAATGAGCTCTAGGCTGAGAGGCTAACTAACCTCAGCTATCCCCATGTCTCCTGCCCTCACTCCTGCCCCATTCCTTGAGGACCCAGCTGCCAAGAGTCAGCTAACAGCTTCCTGCTAAAACTTTGGCTAAGTGGGCAGCTCCAAGGCCAGTGTGATGGCCAGGGAGTAGATGGAGACCTCTGAGTGTCCAAGACAGGGCAGAGACCCTGCTCCCAGCTTTGTGTAGAGCTTAGGCCTGGTATCAGGACCCTCCCAAAGACTCTGTGTCACCACGTTCCTGCAATCCCGAATGACCCCTGAGCAAGACGCTGCTTTTAGCCCCTTTTAACCTGTACCAGGTGTGGAGACTAAGGCATGGGATGATCCTGTAAGGCAGGTGGGTGGCAGAGCTGGTTTTGAGCCCAAGCTGTCTGCCTCCCCAGAGACAGCCCATAACCAGGCATTACTGTGACAGTTGGCCTGCGACAGTACCCTTTCCTCCCCGCTGCCCCACAGTCCGGAGTCCGTGTCCCCAGTCCCTTAGGAGTCGGGATTGTTGCTCTGTGAGGATGTGGCCACAGTCCATTTAAGATCCTCGTACTGCAGGATGACTTTTCCATGAATTCTCCTGTGCCTTTGGCTTGGTGTTAACCCCAAAGCCAGATGCGGCGGTCACGTGCTGTCCTGGGGTTTCCCCTCCGCTTGAGGTGCTCCCAGAGAGCCTTCAGCCTCTTCCTCCGCGAAACAGGCTCTGGGCCGGACACGCCTAAGGGGTGGGAGGACGTGGGTAAGGCTGTGGTGGGAAGGTGTTGCGAGTTGAGGGAGACAGTCGAGGAGACCGGGAAAACGAGGGGGACAAGGCTACCGGAGTGGGGGCGGGAAGCGGAACAGGGTTTCGTGCCACCAGGTCCGAGTAATCGCCCAGCTCCGCTGGGCCGCCCTCCCGCAGGTGCCACCGCCCCCCGGGCCCGCCCCCAACACCCCGACCCCGGCCCCGCCCCTGCCCCGCCCAGCGGGTCCATTTACAAGCGTCCGCGGCCCCGCCCGGGGCGGCTAAAGCGACGTGTCCTTGTCCCCCGTGGGCAGCCTCGGCGCGTGCGGGCGCGGATACCCCGGTAAGGCGGGAGTCGTGGGTCCGGGTGGGTCCGCGGGGAAGGGCTCAGAGGCAGGACCGGGTGGAGGCTGGGGAAAACGCGATGGGGGCCCTCGGTGCTGGAGCCTCTGCCTGGGCCATCCACGTGGTGGGACTGCAGCAGTTTCAGGGGCCATTGTCGACCTCTGACCTCTGACAGTTGCCCCATGTCCTGCCCCGATGTTGTCCCTGTACACGTGTGTCACGTCCAGAAGGGCTGGACAGGAGGGAGGTGGCTAGAGTCCATGCCTGTCCGTGAGGCCAAGAGGAGGCAGTGCATCCTCGGGCGTGCGGCAGCCCTCAGCAGCGGCCGCGCGCGTCTTTGGGTGGTCTGAGCAAAGCCTCAAAGGTCACTAAGCCAAGAGGCAGTGAGGGGAGTGAGTCAGAGAAGGGACTGGGGGGTCAGTGTGAGTCACACAGGGGAAAGGTGGCACAAGAGCCGGGACTAGGCTGATGGGTCAGCGTGGGGTCAGCTCAGAGCTGTGTGAACGGAAGAAACCCACCCCCACCCCCCACTGCCCCAACACCCAATTAGCTATCACTGACTCCCGGTGCCCTCAGGGAGGAGGCTGCGGCGGGCAGTCGCCCTTCGTGTTCCCTGGTTGTGCCAGTGACCACCGTGTCTTGCGCTCTGGATTTCAGTTCGTGGCCCCCCTCCCGGGATAACCAGTCCAGAGCCATGAAGACTAAGAGCCGGCCACCCCGTCGCGGAGCCCCGCCTCAGGACGCGGAGGCCGCCCCGGGAGAGCGCACTCCGGACGGGTCCTCTCCTGACACTGGCCCTGATCCCTCCAAGGGAGTGCGGAGCCGGGCGGTGCGAGCGACGGGGGCGCGGACTGAGGGCGGGCGCAGGCGGTCAGGGCCAGGGCCGGGTGGCCGGCGAGACAGCAGTGTGCAGCGGCGACTGGAGAGCAACGAGCGCGAGCGGCAGCGCATGCACAAGCTCAACAACGCCTTTCAGGCACTGCGCGAAGTCATCCCGCACGTGCGCACGGACAAGAAACTCTCCAAGATCGAAACCCTAACTCTGGCCAAGAACTACATCAAGTCGCTGACGGCCACCATCCTGACCATGTCCAGTGGCCGCCTGCCGGGCCTGGAGGGGCAGGGCCCCAAGCTCTACCAGCACCTCCAGCAGCAGCAGCAGCAAGTGGGGGCCACGCTGGGCGCCCCTGAGGCCCAGCCGCAGGGCCATCTGCAGCGGTACTCCACGCAGATCCACAGCTTCCGAGAGGGCACCTAGGCCTGGCCCTGGGGGCAGTGGCAGTGACAGCCAGCCTCCTCATCCCAGCCCCGGTCCCTGGCGCTGGGCTCCAGACTGGTGGTAACATCCCTTGAGGATGTGTCCCCAGTGACTCCATTTTTCCTGAGCCCTCAGCTGCACCCCCAGCAGTTTCTCCTGCACCTGCACCTGTGGGGACAAGCAAGTGGCCCAGGGAGGCCATGGCTCTGGGTGGCCTGAGGCCCAAACCTCCATGCAGCACCCAGGTCCTGCTTTTCCACTAACCAGGACTTGGCAGGAGTTGAGAGGCCTCAGCCTTTGTGATTAGATTCTCTTCACCTGACTCCTCCCAGGCAGGGGGAGATTCCAGGAAAAGATTTACTTAGAAGCATCCCATCCACATGGCCACCAAGGCCTGGAAGGACCCTTCTCCAATCTGCAGCAGTGGGGCTGGGACTGGGTGGGGCCTAAGCCCTGCATTATCATTCAAGGTAAACTAAGGCCCAGAATAATCCAGGCAAAGCCTGAGGCCTCTGGGGAGATGGTTGGAGTGTCAAGCTCAGTAGAGGACCCTTAAGTGACCTTGAATTCATTCTAAGGGGAATTTAGAGTGAGGGCTGGCATCTCTTCCTCCTTCCTCCATCTGTGGGAGCAGCAACCCCCAGCTGAGGAGGGTCCAGGCCTGGCCCTGACAGCCCCATGGAGTTGGAGCCGGATACCAGGAGTTGCTAATGTTGCCTTTCTGGGATGTCCAGGAGGGAAGCTGGGAGGCTCTAGGTCCTTAGAGCAGCCCTGGAGCCTCTGCCTGGCCCTAGCCTGTGTGTTGAGGAGCGTTTGTCCTGGGCCTTCCAGATAATGTCATATTTTTCACCATTGTGGGGTCATGTAATTGGCCAAAGGCAGGCAGTAGGACTCTAGGATGTTTGTTCTTGGTTGCTGGTTTGAGTTGGGGGGCATGTTGGCGCTTTCTGTGAGTGAAATCTGGGGACGGCAGGACTTCCCTCCCCCCCACCCATGGTAGCAAGGCCTGGGTGGCTTGGCACATCCTTGCTGCCTCAGGCCCAGCTTCCTTCTGTCTGGTGTTCCTGCCCTACTGGCTCTGCCAGACTTGGTCACTTTGCTCTCAACCCCTCCCTTGTTCCTTGGCTCAGAGCTGTCCCAGAGGCCCTTAGGGGCCAGGTCCTTCCTGAGGTGCTGTAGGTGGGGGCCAAATTGGGCCCTAGGCTCCCACTGACCAGTCCCTATCCTGTATCCTTGCCCTGCCCAAGTTTGGGGTTCCTGGCACCAGATGCTAAATGCACCAACAGGCTTGGGGTCAGCCCTGGCCACCATATTAAGGGTAGAAGGTAGCACCTTCCCCTAGTCAGGCTCTCTGGAAGGTAGCCCCAGGCATACTACAGTAAGACTTGGTATCAGACTGTGCATGCTGCTCCTAGAAGCCTGGTCTGAGGCTGAGCATAAGTCTAAGTTTGGGACAGAAGGAGTCCAGGCCTCCCTGACTGTGGGCACCCAGCTGGCAGGGATGTGATGTGAGGGTACCTCCACTGTAAGGGTGTCAGGGTGTTGCAGACCTGATAGCCCTTGTTTCCCACTGAGCTGTGGCCAGAATGGGTTAAGTCCTTGTTGATCCTGAAAGCACAGAGAGGGGGGGATACCCAGTGGAGGGTCTGTCCAGATCATTCCTGGGGACACGCCACAGCCCAGAGCTGCCCAGGTGTTTCTGTCCCAAACTGGCACCTGGGTCCTTTCCACATCCCAGAGGGTGACCTGGGGCCAGCTGCCCACTCCTCCTCCACAGCTGGAGGGGATCTGTGTGCCCTGTAGCCATATCAAGGATACTGAGATGTCCCAATCCCACTTCAGGGTGGCAAGTGTCGGGGGAGCTGAGGGGATAGGTATATGACAAGCTTGCAGCTGGATCTGCCCCTTGCCCTTGTCTTGTACCCCAATCCCAGGCTGGACTCTCCCATCCTGTGGGGAGGCTTTGCCTGGGCCATGAGATGAGTTTCCTAAAGTCCCTGCACAAGCTGGTCAGGGACCCACATACTGCTAAGCCCTGGCCGCCTCCACCACACCCTGGGGCTGTCCACCCAGCCACCTACCCTGGCACCAGCACCCTGAGCTGGCTCTGGGAGGTGAGATCCTCACCAGCACAAGTGGAGAAACCAGAACTGCCACTTTCTGTCAGGGAAAACCCAACTGGAACAGCCCGTGCTCCTGCTGTAATTGTGGTGGAAATGTTTCTTAAATGACCCAGATTTGCTTTTATTTTTTTCTAATGGTCTCTTCAAAGTACTAATGAAATCAATACTGTGTCATAAAATGAAAATAAAAGATTTCAAAGCAATTGCTGCTTTTGTCCATGCACAAATGCATGGGGAACTGTGCATTTTAATCAAAATGTAGCAATAAAAAATATCATGCCATTTACACTCTGGTGTAAGTTTTTATTGAATAAAACATCCAAAGAAGGATGCTGAGCAGGTAAACAGTTAGTGCTCAGCAGCAGGGGAACACGTCACCCTGGAGAAAAGCAGAGTGATACCCTCCACTGAGAGCCACCTGCAGGCAGCAAGTCACAGCAGAACGCACAGGGCACTGTTGCAGGGGAACACACCATAATACCCGCACAGAAAACCTGGCATTGAAATGTAAACACAGCACCGGGCCATCTCCCCTGACAGGCCTGAGAGCTCGCACCCAGACACAACTGGCCCTGCCTCCAGCAACACGGAGAATACCATGTCTCTCAAATGGCTGCAGGGCGAGACATTAGAGGAGACTTTTCTTAAAGTCAGCTTCAGGGTGACAGACACTGTGCAGCAAAATGAGATCAGATATAAATGCACAAGTGACCCCCTGCTGATGATGAAATGGGCAGGGATCCCAGGAAGGTCAGTTGGTGATAAGTCCCTTCATTATCAGAGTGATCAGAGAAAGGACTTGGGCTCCAATGAACTCACAGGAAAGCATCCAGTATAGGAAGCAAAGTCCTCAAATGGGGCAAAAATGGGATAAAAAGCAGGAGAGGAGTTACCAGACAGAAGTCAGGGCCACTCAGCCAAGGGTTTTCCTCCTCAACCAGCCAGGCCAGGCCCTCACCCTGGAGTGCACAGAACAGGTCAGGGGGTCTATGTCCTGCTCCCCTAGGATGCCTGCTGTCCCCTCAACATGATCTGATACCCTAAGATTCCTTGAGCCCCACACACATCTGGGGAAGGGCCAACTAGGGGCTGAAGATGGTGACCCTGCATGTGACACCATCTCCTAGTCTCACCATCTGCAGCCCTGGCCCATCTGCAGAAGACATCCCTGCCAACTTGAGTGCTTAGCTATAAAATTAGACTCTCTTTGCAAGTCCTGCTCTGAGAAAAAGTCACAACTCATGACAAAGTTGCTCTGAGCCCCAGGCCTGTCTCTTGGCTTGGGCCGGTGGCAGGCCCAAGCTGCTGCCAAGATGCCACCTCCAGGGGTTTCTTCCTGGGCTCTTCTGGTGGGCTTCAGGCTCCCAGCCAGGTAGGAGTAGGCTGAGGGGAAGTAGGGGCTAGGCCTTAGGGGGGTGCAGCACCCCCCTCTTCCCCATGGTTCTTCTGTAAATGCGGACACATGCCAGTCATCCCTGGAGCTTCATGTTTCTGGACTATATTAGCCAGTGCTCTTGCTCTGAAGTAGCCATGACCTTGGGCTAGGTTCCCTCCTGAGTCTGCCTGATCAACCCCCCCGCTGCCCTCCACAGCATACACTATAGCATAAGAATGGCTCAGCCTTGACCCTTCACACCGGGCACATCTCTGTCCAGGTGCACGGGGGCCTCAGCAGCAGGCAGGGCTGTGTGTTTCCTGACAGGTGTTCGGCTCCTGATTCCGGGTAGTGCCCCGGGGGGCCCTGGTGGCATTGGCTCGGACAGAGATATGGTCCCAGCCTCCCTGGAAGGAGAGGGCTACATTACCAGGTGCACCAGGGTTCCAGGCCCCCCAGAAGCTCTCCCCCAAGGCCATCCCCCTCACCCAACTGCTCCGGAGGCCTGGTCGGGCCAGCGGCCCCTGCTCACCCCGATGCCGTAGTCCCAGCCCTGTCCCTTGGGCTCATGGGGCTGCACACCTGTGCGGTGACACACTGTCCCCCGGCTCAGACTATGACTGCCCTGGACTTTGTTGGCAATGACCCAGACCTGGAACACAGACCCCACTAAGGCCCAGCCCCAGCTACAGTGGAATCACTAGGGCTGGGATTCAAGACAGAGAGAGGACCTCAGTAGACTAACAACCAATACCCTCTGACCCCCCCAGACCTGGTCCAGAGGCCCCACAGACACTCTGCACACGTTGTTGGACACATGTTCCCAGCTGGAGCCCTGCGGGTAGCTGGGTGTGATCCCCTGGCGGTACCACAGGTTCCCTGCAGAGAGAAGTGGGGGTCAGAAGTAAAGGCTGGCTTGGCCTGCCACCTCACCCAGCCTCTGGCCCCCTGCAGGGGTGGGGGAGATAGAGGGCCTGGCCACCCAGTCAAGGCTGCAGCCTGTTCTTCCCTGGGTTCCCTGAGCCTCACAATCGTCCTTTTTATTGTGCCCGGCAGGACTGGGCAGGATCCTCTTTCTACTGAGGCAGAAACTGAGGACAAAGAATTTTTAAATGAATAAAAAAGAGAACCAGGTATCTAGAGTAACATCCTGGATTTTTTTTTTTTTCTATTTTTGAGATAGGGTATTGCTCTGTCGCCCAGGCTGAAGTGCAGGGGCGCAAGCACAGCTCACTGCAGCCTCAAACTCCTGGTCTCAAGTGATCCTCCCACCTCAACCTCTGGTATCAAGGTGTGAGCCATCATGCCTGGCCCAGATTTCAGTCTAGATTCTACCTTTCTCAGCCTGCTCCTCAGCTGCAACTATAGAACAATGCAGGAGACTGTCGAGGGCCTTGCCTAGGGTGACACAAAGTCAGAGATGGCTCTGAGCTGGCCCTGAACTGCCTAGAACTCCTGTCACAGGCCTGGGTAGAGACCCTGCCTTGGCACCTCAGATGGCACCCTCATCCCCTATGAAACTTGGGGAAGAAGTCAGCACTGAGGCTGACCACAGCCAGGTGCCTGTCATAGTGGTTACAGGTCTTGTGTTGGGGGCCTGGGATGGAGCTGTGCTTCCTGGACCCGGCCCCAGGAGGCCAGGCCAGCTTAGCATCCTGCCTCCATGGTCACTGAGGTGGGCAGATCACATCATGCTCAGCCCTGGAACCTAGTGCTTCAGATCTCCTGAAAAAACATGGCTCAGAAAAGCCTGGATGCTTGTGGAGAAAGGGAGGAGCCAACCCCAGTCTCCTCCAGCACTGGGGCCTGCCCTTCGCCCAGGACGACATAGGGCATCAAAACAACTTGCCATTTTCATCTAAGGCGTACACTGATGTCTGCCCAACAGACACCTGTTTTAGTCTCTGTTTAGGAGGAGAGGGGATGTGGTACCAGCAGTCACCTGCAAGGAAAAGAGCTGATTCAGGCTGCACCCTTGGGACCACTCACAGCCCACATGGCCTCTTTCCCAGCTCATGGTAAGTCAGGCACAGGCGGCTGACCTTGGTTTTCAAGCATAGCTGACCTGTGCCTGCTGTCCACTCAGCACCCAGCCTTGCCCAAGGCCCTCCGGATGCTGTGGCGGATTCAGATGGACCTATCTCACCAGCACCGACTCAAGGGCACTCAGCCTGGTGCTCAGCGGAGAGCAGGCCTGGAGGCTATCCTGCCAGCCCAGGTCATGGGGAGAGTAGCTATGTGCCCCTCCCCTGCACTGGGCCCTGTCCAGCAGAGAACATGCCCACATGGCCTGCCCTCCTAGACAATCCCAGGAGTGGGCCACACAGGGTGGAGGCATAAGTTGCCCTCTGGAAGGGCAGGACAGTTCTGGCTAGAGTTGCCCTGTCCTTAGGTGGTCCCAGCAGGAATAGGATGAGTCCTCTAGAAGGACCCCAGCTTAGCCCCCAGACCTTTTCCAGAGGAGACATTCAACAAATGCTTGTCAAGCTAAATTGAGCAGACAAGACCAGCCAGCCAGCACCACCCTACTCAGATATGTCACTTACTTATCACAGCCTCCTGGAGGGCAGCACTCACCAGCTGGCCGGGAGGGGGACACAGAGCCTCGGTAGAAGGCAGAGCCATCCCTTGCTATGGCCCACACCTGGTAGCAGGCCCCGATGGAGACGGAGATGAAGGGCTGGTCAGTGCCAACATGCAGCCAGGAGGAGCCCTGGGAAACAGGCGAGGGTGGTGCTAAGGCAATCACCAAGGTCAGCAGGCTTACCCACCCCCCAGCTCTGGGTGATAGGCCCAGCAAGCCAGCAGCCAGGGTGGCCAGAGGGCAGTCAAGGTCACATAGACCCAGCCCTGCCTGACTCATGGCCTGATCTTGGTACTTACTGGACCCACTGTCTACCTTTTCAACTCATAAGGAAGGACAGCAACAGCATTTGCATCTCATCTTAGCAGTGTCCCTAGGCCTGTCATCCCTGCCCAAGGCCCAGGGAAGGGATGGGCTCCTTGCATCAACCTATCCTCAGCACCAGCTGCCCATGGGACCTAGTGACCCACTCAGGGACACCTGTGGTGTCCACTGGTCCCAGAGACCTTTCCTGGGCAGGCCCAGAGAGGCCCGAGCCAGGCCTGACTCCAGAGCCAGAGAGTCCTGATTTTAAGAATGGGGCAAGGTGCTCACTGCGGGGTTCAGTGCAGACACGCCCAGGCGGCATAACACATCCCCCTTGTCACTGACAGCCCAGAGCGCGATGCTGGACCCATTCCTGTCGGTGTCCGGGCTCTCCGGGATAATGGACACGTCCCTGAGGGCAATGGGGGCCACCTCCAGCCAGGGCCCACTGGTCACCAGCACGCACTTCCTGTATAATAGGGAGAGTACAGAAGGGATCCTGATGTCACCATGCTGGGGCCCTAGGCATGTAGAAGGGAGGAGGAGGGCAGCCTGCTTAGGCTAGGCAGAGTGGGGGACTAGGAGCCAGGACCCTGAGAGAGCTCTTGTGGTGGGATGAGGGCCTGAAGGTGGCTCCCTCGCCACCCCCTCCCCCAGCCAGACTCCATCTTCTGTCCTTACAAGCTGAGCCTGCCAGTGACATTTGTCTTATTTGTTCTTGAAAACAAACTCTTCTGAAACCAGAGAGCACTGGGAGCCCGCAGGCGTTTCCTGGGCTGACATTTACTTTGACTCAGCTTTCCGATCTCCTCTCCCACTGCTTCCAGGGACTAAGGTCAAGAGGCCAGGGGATCTGGCCCCCGTAACCAGAGATTCACTGGGCAGGGGAGGGAAGGAGCAAGTTGTGACCATCCTCCTATGGCCCCCACCTCACCTGGCCCAGCACCTTCTCCTGACAAAATCCTTCATGGTTTTGTACCCATGGTAAGAGCTGCAAGAGAAAGAAGAAGAAATCAAGGCTGCTTCATGGAAGTTTCTGGAAAGTGACCCTGCAACCCTTTCTTTTTCTACTTGTTACTACATAGCTCATTGTAAGCCACTGCTGGGTTCACTGCATGACCCTTGACCCCGGGACAGCTGAGGACCTGAGGCGGAGGGGAGGGTCAACTGGGAGGCCTGGCTGCTATGAGGATGGCCCTGGGTGAGCCCACGCTCTGAGGCTTGCTTCTTCCTCCCCAGCCAGGTCTGCTCAGGCCTTTCTGGCTCCATCTTCTGACTAAATGTGACTCACGTGCCTTGAAGGGCCTGTCCACACCCAACACCTGCCACTAGGCCCCAGGGCTGCAGCTCTTCACCTACCTGCTGGGCTATGGGGTCAGGACTACACAGAGCCGGGGAGGGGCCCAGTCTGCAGCATGCTGCAGGCAGACACTTACGCAGGGAAATCACTGGCATACTGCCACCCCTCTGGGTCAGTGCCCCCAGGCACACTGAAATCCACAAACCAATCAGAAACCTGGGGAGGAGAAAATCAGTGAGGACAGGAACCCCAAATCCACAGACCAGTTAGGAAGCCAGAGGAGGGGCAGGGAGAGGCAGGGAGGGGCCGGTCAGGGCAGGACCCACCACAGAAGGTGGCAGGGGCTCACCCACGTCCATTGCAAAGATGGGGGCTTCGTGCTGGCCTTGGTGCACTCCTGCAACCCTGTGGCATCACTCCACATGTACCGGTCTGTGGGCAGACCCCTGAGGCAGGGTGACAGAGGCAGGTGATGAGGGAGAACCAAGAACAGCCCTCCCAGGTCCGGCAACTGTAACACCTCTGGTCGGGGCCCTGAGAAAGGTGCCAGAGTTCCAGACTCAGAACAAGCTAGGCATGATGGGCAAAACCAAAATTTCCCTGGGCAGAAGACCAACTAGAGTGACCCGTATAACCTGGTTACTGGGCTGTGACCACCTCCAGGCCACCTACCAAGGCTATGGCATCTGTGCAGTCTGGATGCTGCCTCTCTTTCCCTTCTGTTGAGGATTCAATTGTGACCCCAAAATATGTTTAAGTCCTAACTCTAACATTTCGATGCCTGAGAATGTGACATTATTTGGAAATGGGATCTTTGCAGATGACCAAGTTGAGGTCCTTGGGGTGGCCCTAATCCAAGGTGTTTGGGGTACTCATAAAAAGAGGAAACTAGGACCCAAGGTCGCACAGAGGGGAGCCCAAGTGAAGACACAGAGAGGACCACTATGCACAAACCCGGGACAGCACCCTGCAACAGGACCCCTCACAGCCCTGGGAAAGGGCCAATCCTGCCCATAGCTTGGGGTCTTCTGGCCTGCAGAAATGAGAGACAATACGTTTCTCATGTTCAAGCCATGGTCTTTGGTACTTTGCTGTGGCTGCCCTAAAACACTAGCCTGGCAGTGAGCAGCACACAGGCCAAGGCTGCAGTGGGAGACACGTTGGTAAGGATGGCCCCCAGCCTGCCCTCTCCCATGGCTCCGCCTCATTCTCTGTGAGGACTTAGGAGGACATGAGAAGGACATCGAGGTTTGAGTCACCAGATATTTGAGAAACAAAAAACCTCCCACTAACACTCTTTGTGGACACTACACTCAGTTGAGGTACAGGTTTTCAGGAGATATCCTGGTACCATGCATCAGCCACCTTAGAAAAGTTCAAATCCTCTAATTTATTAGGGCAAACAGAAAGACACAAATATTTACACACCAGGGAATCCTTTGAATCATTCCATGTGGCAGGGAAAGGTCATGAACGATCTACACATCCAAGACTGAGTGGAGGTTAGACTGGCCAGGTCCACTGCCAGTGTGGGGTGGTGAGGCTACTGTAGCCACCATCACCAGCCTGCCTTTGTTACCCAGCAGTTGCATGTGAGCACTGGAGATGGCTGGGAGGCAACATGCCACATGCCAATAGTGGTTATGGTCATTGCCTGGTGAGATTAAGGTTGTCATGGAGTTTGTTCTTCATATCATTTGGTATTTATTTTGTCAATTTTGAAAATCAGGGAAGAAATCAATTGCATTTCTATATGCATCCTCAAAGAGAAAAGGAAATAAAAAGTTTGTGCCATTTATAACAAAACCTTACTAAAAGAAACTACATTAATGGAGGCATAAAGTCTATTCACAAAATGAGAGACTTAACAGTGGCGGAGAATTGTTCTCCCCAAATGGATCTACAGATCCAAGATATTCCCAACCAAGATCTAAACAGTTTTTTTTTTTTTT